ATCCTCACTAACTTCAATCTCTTTGTAACAGCTCGACAGGTTCGCAATGAGTTCCCCTGTCAACGTTAGTGCACAAACTCGCCTGACGATGCGCCAATACCGGCCGCCTTCATCTCCGTCCACAACGCTGTCATCACCACATAATTCTACCACCTCCGCGGCTTTCCTCCATGGCCCACCAACACCCCCGCCCCAACCACCGGCTTTCCCTGTGATCCCCACCGCTTTGCTTCGTCAACTCAAAGATCTCTGCGCTACTCAAGCTCGCGTGAGGGCGCCGCTGAACATCTATTTAGCTGATCTGTTCACTGCCACACGGCACTATGGGTCGTTAGATGCTATGATGCTTACGACACGTGCACGCCAGGACGCAGAGACTCTCGTACGTGCGACTCGTGTGCTCGGCATCGATCGCACGGGCGCAGAGCTCATCAAGGAGGCTGCCAACGATGCACCAAAGCCAAGTGAAGTCGACAGCAGCTCTACCGAACGCAGCTACCCGCATTCGCACCCCAGTACAGCGAGCATATCCTCAGACGCGCTCTTAGACGGAGCCGATGTTCCAGAAATATACGAATTTTCGAGCAGGCCAAGTATACATCGTAGTTCGGCCAGTCATTTGACGGGAGCAGAGGAACCCCTCGAGTTGGACGTGTCGGAGGCGGATATCGCGAGGATATTTCCTAGGGTCGTGTCACATCGAGTTCGAGTGAGGGATACGCCGTTCGATGAGGTATTGAGTAGTGCGGTTTGCGGGGCGGTGGGTAGGCTGAGGGAGGCTGAGAGCATTTGGGAGAGGGACACGGTGAAGGATATTTTAGTTCATATTTTAGCTGAGGTCTGAGTGCTGAGCATTGATTCCTGCTGACGGTGAGGACGGGCATCTATTGTGGAATTCAGAGGTCTAGTAGATTTAGTCTGTTTTGCGGTAGTACTACTACTTATAATAATGGACTTCCACCACCCGTTTTGACCTCCGTCAACCGAAACGGTGACGACTTCAACGCTTTCACACTTTCATAATCCAACAGAATGACAAACGGACCACCACCGTCTGCTGCAACGTCTACCCTCCCAGAAGCGGCACCTCAACGACAACAATACTACACCTCCGTGCAACCGAACGCTCAGGCTGGCCCCTCCCAACCTCCTCCACAACCACCCGTACATTATGCCCAAGCTCACATTTCCCAACAACCTCAAGGCCAAACACAAGGCCAGCAGAACCCAGCCCAAGCTTACTACACGATGGGCTACCCACCCGGAACCTGGCAGAACGCATGGCAACTCTCCGGCTACCCATACGCCCCATCCGGAAGCTCTCCCTATCAACAGACCCATTACACACAGATTCCATACGCACAGTATCAGTCATACCAACCCCAACCAGCTGCCCGTCAGCGCACGAAGCCGCCGCCAAAACTTCGTACGCCGACGCCGGAGCCCGTGTATAGACATTGGGACGAGGTCATACGTGCTTTTTTGAAGAAAGTTGGGTTGAGTCAGGCCTTGAGGGGATTTGAGGATGATATGGTCGTTTTGAATGCTGAATGGGAGAGAAAGAGTGTTCCTGGCGCGATTGGTGACTTGGTTCGGGATCTTATGGTGCGCCGAGATTCCGTTCCCTGTATGAAAACTTGGACTTGATCTCACTTTGACGGGCGCAGACACTGGGGAAGTTCAAGGAAGGGGAAGAGCCAAAGGAGCGTCCCTTAGAAGAACGAAAGCTCGACTACATTCATTTGAGCACCGGTGCAGAACCTCAGTCCCAATCGACGGTAAGATTGCGGAGCTTCTCTCTCGCCGACGCTCTGTCCTAAAATCACATCCAAAGATCACGAAATCCGTGTCGGAGTTCCTCGCACAAAATTGCGCAAAGAACGATGCGTCGAACCGTATCGAATTTCTCGAGTCGTTAGCACAGAAACGACGTCGACTTAACCTCGACCCCGAAAGTACCGACCCTATTCCGTCTTGTGCCAGGACAGACGCGAAGCACCTTGACAGGGATTCCCAAATGAAATACGATATTGCAAAGAACGAAGATGGCCCCTTGAGGAGGACTATGAAGGGAGTCGTTGGGCAGGAAATGCGAACCGAGGAGAAGTTGGTAGCTCTCACTGACGACACGCCAAGTAATCACCAGCCTGCAATAGATGAAAGGCTCAAGAACATCGAAACGCATCTTGCAGTACGCTATGGTATGTCTCATTTTCTGCGAGTCACTTCCTTTAATGGACCGACACTCAGTTCCTGCACCACCACGTACCTTGCTTGCGCGTCTTCAGTTCCTGGAGACTCATATCACACAGCTCGAGAAAGAATATCCTCCTTGGGCTGCCCTTCACTTCAATCAACCCAACCGCGGCGTGAGTAGCTCCTCTTTGGTATTGCCAACTCCGCTGATACCACATCCATAGTGGCCTCCACCCCCTCGCCAGACACCTATTATCGTTCCCTCGCACCTTACCGCAAAAGATTCACCCGGGGAAAGCAGCACCTCTCCCACCGCGGCATCTACATTTGGCGGAGCAACTGACGAACCGGTGGCGGCCCCAACCAAAGGAAAAAATAAGAACAAATCGAGCTTGCATCGCGCTGTGATGGAGAAGCTTGAGGTGCAGAAAGCGATGAACGACCTTGCTGGGGCGAAGAGGGGTGGCTAGGTGGAAAGAGGGGCACCTCGTTATCCTTGCTTGGCCCTTTTCTATGGAGGCGATTCCTCAGCCCGGACATCGCCAACAAGGTGCTCGGGCTGAAATCTACCAGATTGTTCCCTGCTAAATTATGACCTTTTCTGGCCATGTTCGCAGCATTGGGGTACGCCATTATTCAGCGACGGATTCACCCTTCGGAAACTCCCACTTTTAGCACTGTTGTACTGTCTTTCAGTGCCCCACCTTCCTGCGGACGAAAGTCAAAGGCCTCGTTGCTAACCCACTTACGGGACCCTCGGTGACCAATCGTCGTCGAACTGCACAATTATGGCCCGTGGGGTCATGGGCGTATCATCAACTACGACACTACAACCAAGGCAGTACCAGCCCGGACGAAGACAATAACGCAGCTTGTCATCGATGATCACTTACCACATGGTTACCACTCTTCCGGATCCTCAACACTGCTGGCCGAACTTCGATGTACGTATGATACAGGTTAAATTACGGTCTATCGCCTCCGTTTCAAGTCCTTCTTCGTCATGTACACACAACTAAAATGTGTAACTTTTGACCTGAACCACGGCAAAAAATCTGGGTCGATGTCTGGACACCCATCTACCTTGAGAGACTCGATGATGGAGCAAGTCTCCGTCGAGCCACTTGGCTCAAATCCACCTTGAAGGCGGCTCTTGACGAAAGCATAGGTACTCGACGTCGAAAGATCAGAACAACGGGAGACATCGACGTGCTTCAGCGCGGGACATGGTAACCCTGGCGAAGGATCATGTGGCAGATCTAGTGATGGATTCTTCCGAGCGAGAAACTGAAGAGCCTCGTTCGCAACTTCGTGGATAGAATTGATTTGCAGGTTCTCCAAGTTAGGAGCGTGAGACAGGACTGCAATCACGGTGCCTGGATCTAGACCACAGTTCCCAACGTGGAGCTCAACCAGAGAGGGGCCCGTTACGTGGAGAAGAGCCTCCCCTGCTCCAGACCTAGCGTTGAAGAGGTGAAAGCTCGTTAACGATTGGACGTTGATAGCACGGAGTAAGGAGAAAGGATTGGCGACATTGCGGAGCTCGATGCTTCTGAGTTTTTCCATGGGAATGGGGCTGGTACCGGTGTAGCTTTCGTTGATGTACGTGAGCTGGCTGAGGTCCAACACAAACCTCTCCAGCGATGGGTTCGCTTCAAGCGGACGCATAGAGAAATTGGCGAGGAAGAAGCAGATGTGTAACTCCGTGAGCTGCTGGATATGCTGCCACCACTTATCCGATATGTGGATTACCCCGTCTAAACGAAGAGATCTGAGCTTCCAATCGGGACCCAATAGGCAACATTGTAGTTGGTCCGGTGAGGCGCAGTCATATAAGGACAGTTCACGAAGGTTCGATAGGACGTGTAGCATCGAAATATCGGAGAGCATTTCGTGAAAGTCGAAGAAGGCTTTGCCAGACGTGCGTAGGCTCGAAAGATGTTCCCATGATAGGTCCTCCAGTTCACTCAGAACCAAGGGTGCATCCAGTGGCGGGACGGATAACGAGAGACTAGCGATGCGATTTTTGGCACCTTGTTTCCACACCTTTACTTTTCGCAATGGGTGCCTATTGGATAGGACGAGCGTCCGCCAGAGACAAGGACTGTCGAACACGATGCGCCGCCAGTGTCCGCAAACATGGGACAATCTAACAACCAAAGTGCTGTCACCGCTGACCAGAGTATCGAATATTTCGACGAGGATCTCCACGGGCAGCTTGCCCAGTAGGTATGAAGTCTTGGAAATGTGCGATAGCCGCTGTTTTTCAGCAGCTGCTTGAGCTGTGACGGCCTGTTCCCGAAGCTCAACTAGCAGAGTGCGTCGCTGCGCGTCATCTGGTCGCAGACGATTCAATGCGAGGTCCGCCATCTTTATGCTAGAGCTGTATTTCTTGAGCGCACTGAAAAGACGCGCCGAACGCGCGTATCCTTGCCATCGGTCGGGTCCAAGCTCAATAACTCGCTTGGAGTCTAGCAGAGCAGCTTTGTGATTTCCCAGCTTCTCGTGCACTGCTGCACGCGAGTCGTAGATCGTGAAATTGTCATTTCGGAGTTCAGCAGCCTGATGGTCGATGAGTGTCGAGTGTGAGTGTCTGGAGATGTGTCATGAGAGCATGATCTTATAACTTACCTGGTTCATGTGAGCGAGTGCTTCCACGAGGTTACCGTGCTTGAAGTAGGCGACCCCATTTTCAAAGCTTTCTTTCCATGACATGGCGGTGTGGACGAGGACAGTGGCGGGTCAAAAGGTGCCAGCACTGCGACTTGGTGTCGACTTGACCAAAAATTATGTTGTAAAAGTTTAGGCCTTGCCAGGACTCGAACCTGGGTTTTGAGAACATCAGCCAACAGGTGACCAAATCAGAATCTCAAGTGATAACCGCTACACTACAAAGCCGATACCTACATTAATCGTTGCGTTGAAAAAGATGTGTAGAATCTGTGTAGCAAGCTCTGAGTCCCCGATTGCAAATCAGTCGTCCTCAAGTTGGTAACTTACACTGGAGGCATATGCCAATGTTATACAAGAAATCATTTTGAAATCATTGTTCAAACAGATTCTTTGTTTTCGTCATGTTCTCGCAAAAATAAATTAAAAATGTTCTAGACCCAGCCAGCCAATCAGGGGCCTGGATTCACCATGTTCTAGGTACAATGTTTTATGTAGGAAAATTATTAAAACATAGTCTC